TTCACGCCATGGCAAAGCGATTCCCCAAGCACTGAAGACATCGGAATGGGAGGGGATGTCGACTTGTTCATAATCACTTGTTCTCCTGTGTTTTTCTCCAGTTTGGGGAAAATGGTTCATATAACTGGTTGTTCATAAGGCTGGTGCTTGTGAAATCGAGGTTCTACTGCAGTAGCAGGGTGTGGGGCTTCAGGTCAGGGCTGAGATCAATTAGCAAAGCTATGGGGGGAGTCAAGAACCCAGCACTAGAAAGCAGGGTTCCTCAAGTTCAGGACTGAGATGCACTGGCAGGGCTGTATGGAGGCTCGGGACTGGAGTAATCAGATTGCTGCAGGTCAGGAGGGAGATGAACTAGCAGGACCCCGTGGGCTGAAAGAAGCTTGCATAGCGAATGTCTGCATTGTGTGGTGTTCTCAATCCTCTCATTTTCACCACTATTGAAATTCCCTAATGAGACAGCTGAATACAGACTGTGGGATTGTGACATTGCCTCCCTTTACGTTTGGGTTACCTTAGATTTTGCTCCTAGGCCCTGTTGTCTCAGTTTTGATCATAGAATATTAGGGTTGGAAGGGACCTCAGGAGGTCATCTAGTCCAACCCCATGCTCAAAGCATGACCAATCCCCAGACAGATTTTTACCCCAGTTCCCTAAATGGCCCCCTCAAGGATTGAACTCACAACCCTGGGTTTAGCCAGCCAATGCTCAAACCACTGAGCTATCCCTCCCCCCATGCTGACCCTGGAACGACTACCCACTGAATCATATGCAGGAAAATCTGTTTCTTTCAGGCCAAACTGCACAAAGTCCTCAGAATCCTATGCTTCTCCTGTTCCAATAAGGATCTTGCATTTCACGAGGAAAGCAATGCAGCTGACTCAGCACAGGGAAGCTTGATCAGCTCAGACTGCTGCCAAAGGCACTGAAAGGGTTATAACTCTTGGTCTTGATGCCTCAGTGTGCTGCGACTGTACTTTCCATTACAGTAACAATATTCGTGTGGGTCTCCCACCCCAGGGAGGGACAGAGGTAGCTGCTAAGCTCTGAGTACATTCACCCTTAAACCACATTTGGGAACTTAAAATTAGTTTTAACCCCGTTCTAGCTGGTTTCTAAGTAACACAGTTTGCCCAGCCACAGTTCCTGGGGTCGAAGTTTGTTCAGAAAGCCTGGTTTAGAACATTGGGACCAGTCCCCCCGCTGGTGTAAATTGGCAATGAAATCAGTGAAGCTAGGCGGTCTTAAATGCTGTGGACATCAATGGAGCAATGCTGATTTATATCAGCTAAGGATCTGGCTCATCATTTTTAGTTAACATGCTTTGGGCTTCTCAAAGGTCAAATCATGGCAGAATCTAGTTTAGTTGGAATCATGTTTAAACGCGGTTCCTGAAATCAGCTTAAAGAGCAGTGTAGCTGAAACCTCATAGTATGGTAATGGGAAGAGGATTTGCCACTGATACCTTGTCTAAGTGGCTAGTTTTTAAACTGCTGGAAAATAAGTTGCATCCCACATGGGAAGAGGAATTGGTTGGTTAAATAATACTGTTCCCTGGCACCTGAGCTGAAGTTCTGCTTTTGCCAAATGTTTGGGATAATAATGCTTAGTTCTTTATAGGTGGGGAAGTGACTTATCCAAGGTCACACAGCAAGTGAGTGGCGGAGCTGGGAATAGAATTCAAGTCTCCTGGTCCAATGCCCTATTTGCTGGGCCATGCTGGTTCTATTGTGATGGTGTAAAATAAACTACAGGTGAAAACGTTAAACGAGCGCTTCCAAGCCACCAAGGTACAGGAGGGTGGGGAAGGAATAAAAACCACAGAGCTGATCAAATTCTGAGTGAAATTCAATATTTGACAAATATTGAATTGTTCATCTGTTATTCAAGAGACAATGAAGCAATGCTGACTTACACCACATAAGGATCTAGTTGTTGTTTGAATCTCTCAATGATCAAATAATTCACAAAATGCTTTGACTTATTGTTATTACAGGTTAATTTGTAGTACGCAAGTGCCTAGATGTCCTGATCCAAGGTCCCGTTGTGCTAGGTTATACATAAACACACCCATAATGAAGATGGTCCCTGCCCCAAAACGCTTACAATCTCAGTAACGCACAGAGCTTAATTTGTGTCGGAGCTTGCAGGGGCTCAGCACAGCACCTCTTCTGTCAGTGGTGTTTAGCAACACATGCAATTCGACACTTGCATGCACGGTGTGACCTTGCGCATACGGTGCGTGCAAAGTGATGGTGTGCGGCAGATGCCATTTTGAGCTCTGACACCTATTTCTTTACAAATTAAGCACTGATAATGCACAAGGACAATAGCTTATCCAATTAACATTATTTGATCCGCTCTATAAACATGTCAATTGGAAGGCTGACTTGCAAAAAACCAACCCTTTGATCTCCTGATGTTAAGCACGATATAAGAATTATATAATATTTATTAATAATAATAACCCATTTTACATGTTACCTTTGTCATTTTTAAAAAAGAGACCAAACCCAGCTTTATTTTGCCGGTTAAGATCTAGACAGTGCTGTGCTGTTGGAAGACTATTTAGCAGCTCATGTGTGAAATGAATTTGATGGACCTCAGTCCAGTTGTCAGTGGTCAGCTGTCTGCATCACAGTTGCCCTCCCTCTATTGGCAGTCTCAGTGAAGAAGCTAAGTAGTGATTGGGCTAGGCAGACTGAGCTCACCTGCCGGTGATTCTTACGGATCAAGGCTAGCAAATGATGTCAGGACAGTGGGTGAGAAGTTTGCTTTGCTGATGCCAGGTCTAGACGCACCCAGGGATAAATAATAATCGCTTGCGTTCTATAGCACTTGTCATCCGTGGATCTCACGGGGCTATACCAACTATCATTATCCCAACTTTCCTGATGAGGAAAACAGAGGCGAAGTGATTTGCCCAAGGATATCCAGCAGGTCAGTGACAGAGCTGGGCACAGAAACCAGGTCTCTAGGCACTACCCACTGTGCCACAGCAGGCCTATCAGTTCTGTCCTTTGCCACAGAACTGAATTCAGGCTGGAAAGTTTCAGCCATGCAGAGCCTTTCTGATAGCCCTGGTTCCTTGGGCGCTAAGAACCTCTGCCCCTCTTTCCTTCTGGGGAGAATTTGCTTATGCTCCACAGTGCGGTTCAGTGAACCCATCAAGATACCAACTCAGATCAGAAATGATGGGTGATTAAAGGGAGTTGTAGGTGGCTGTTGCTAGGTTACAGGCTCTCTCAATCTGCTCTCGCTGTCAAAGGGTTCTGAGTTGAGGAGATCTGAAGCGATGCGGCCAGGACTGGAGGAGTAAGTACTTCCCACCCGTTGTGTGTGTGGACAGCCCTGTCGGCCCAGAAGCAACCAGGGGCTTCTAATGTGGGAGGCCTGGCTCCTTAGGAAGCAATGCCAGGCATGGCATGAGACGCAGTGTGAATTAGTAGGAGGTGCTGCGGACATATCTCCTCTGGAGTTCTGTGATGGCTCCTAGTTCTGGCAGTGGCAAGGGGCATCCCAGCCACTGCCTTTGGGCAGAGCCATGATCTGCAAGTGGTGGTGTGAGCTCAGGCTTCTGGAATGGGGCGCACAGGAGTGTCTGGGAGCAAGTTGTTTCCTCTCCCTCTGCTCCTGCTGATGCAGAGGGGTGTGGGGCTGGGCTTTGCCCCTAAAAAGCTGGGACCACAGCCAGTTGCTGGCTTTGCTTGGGCTTAGGGCTTGCCCTTAACCTTACCTTTGAAATAGATGGGAAAGCGCCATTAGGCCATTGAGTCGACCCCTTCCCCCATCACAAACAGGAGAGAGTTCCCCCCACAATAGAGCAATCATGGTATCCGAGGCTTAAGGTGATGCCATGTTCAGTCTTAGCCAGAAGGTGGAGAAGAGGTGATGGGCGTTAGCTTCTCTAAAACGAAACCGTGCAGAGGAGCAGGCTCAGGTTGCATCTCACATGCATCAAGATCCCTGAAAGCTCCAGAGGAAGTGGGGACCAAGTCAGATAGCCCTGCACTCTGGGAGTCCGGATTCCTGGGTTCTTTCCCCATCTCTGACACTGACTCGCTGTGTGACCTTGGGTAAATCACTTCACTTTTCTGTGCCCCTCTTTCAAATGGGGATAATGTTACTTTGTGAAGCTCCCCTGGAAAGCACTATAAAGGATAAGTACGAAGCATTACAATGCTAGGTGGGGAAAGGTTTCCCATATAGGCTAATAAACCTCCACATGTGCTCTACTTCGATAGTGGCAAATATCCATTATTGCTAGAAGCTTGAATTTCAGGGATCAGTTTGTGACACTTGGAGAGGAGCATTGGCCCCTGGAGCCAGAAGTGGGCCTGTGCTCTGTATACTCTGTGTGTTGAGGATGATACAGGCCCAGAGTGATGGGATATATAAATCCTACTTTACTTTAAGATTAAACTCGCCAGCAGCTTGGGTTACATAACGAAGGCTGAGTTTCTCACTGTGGTTTGCACACCTATTTATACACAGGTGTGAGTGCGTGGGTGGCTGCCTCTCTCGATTCCCTTCTGTGTCTCTCCTCTCCTCTGTCGCTCTTCGTTTGTTCATTTCATCGGAAGGTTTGACAGCTATTCAGGGCGAGAGGAAAAAATAATCCCTGGTTTCCAATGGTAGTTTGAGACTCACTCTGTCCTGCTGGGCTGCTTTTTGGATCTTTTACAGTTCAGCTGTAATACTGCGTGTGACAGTCAGAGAGCTGTGGCTGGAGGGTTGGTCTCTGTACTCCAGCCTTTTTGCCTTTCCCAGCAGGAGGTACCATGGTAGGTTCCCCCTGGGGTTTGGGAAGATGTTGACAATGGGCATTAATAATAATCTTGTCAATGAAGAATTAAACAAAGAAAAGTTCCTAATGAGCTAAGGAAGCACCGAGCCGGGGAGCTGACAGCTTGCAGCATCCTCGGTTGGAATGTCCTGTGGGGGAGGGGATGCTCAGAAAAGCGGGGAGCGAGCTGAATCCAACCTGTGCCTTTTATTTTTAGGACCTGGCTCTGCGTGAGCTGCTCTGGCAGATGTGGAACTGCAGGATTAATGGAGACGTGATGAAAGGTACCGGCTCCTGCTTCTCTCTCTGTCTCTCTGTGGTAGATGGGACCTCTCATTGTGGGCGACTGCGTGGAAATAGATGCATTGCTCATGAAGGGGTTGCTGTGCTCCCGGCTGCCCGGCTCTCTGGTGGGGGTGGGGGTTCTTTGTCTATTTCTCTGCTTGTTTTCCCTGTGTGTGATGCTTGTCTCTGGCTGTGTTTTGCAGCTTAGCCAGCCCCCTGGCAGGCAGGACAGATGCTGCCTCATCCCTGACGATCTGCAATGGAAGTGCCCAGTACCAAAGATTTCCAATGGAAAACCCTCGCACCCCTCCCCAGCGGCAGGGTCTACTGCTCGCTTGTGGAGGCAGGCGGCCAGGTCTTTGCCATCGGAGGCTGCGATGACAACGGAGTCCCCATGAACTGCTTCGAGGTTTACTCCCCCGAAGCCAACCAGTGGAACTCTCTCCCTCCCATGCCTACGGCCCGGGCCGGAGTAGCCGTGGCCACCCTGGGCAAGCGGATCATGGTGATAGGAGGGGTCGGGATGAACCAGACGCCCTTGAAGATAGTGGAGATGTACAACATAGATGATGGCAAGTGGAAGAAGAGGAACTCCTTGAGGGAAGCCTCGATGGGCATCTCCGTGACGGTGAAAGGCAAGGAGAATTTGTTTCCTAGGCAGCGTGTGGGGAGTGGTACTACAGAGAGAAAGGGTGGAGGGTAGAGTGAGAGTTCAACTTATGCATCTAGCCAAACAGCTTTCAGAGACTCTTGGGGCGGTGGGGGGCTTTGAACAGGGGCAAGGAAGCAATCCCCCTTCCCAAACCCTGCACTGAGAACTTGAGATGAGCCTTATCTCAGGTTGGAGAAGTTGGGTCAGCTAGACCCCTCCTCCTTGCAATGTCCAAACAAGGCAGGACTGGACCAGAACCACTGTAAAGAGGACTTTTCACTGAGGCTGCTGAAACCAGACAGACCCTGTGGTTCCCTCTGGCTCTACAGCTCTGCCTGTGGACGGTGAGCACTCTTATGGCCGTGATTATTTTAGACAGGCAAAGCTGCATTGCTGGAATCCAAACTTTCCCAACGTTGGGTGACTTTTGGATCCCAGGTTTTGGCTTGGGCCCAGCTCTAGTTCTGCAGGATTTCTGTAACTCAGAGTTGCCAATAGGGGTGTTAGAGATGTAGGGCCCAATTCTGCTCTCAGTTACACAAGTTTCAATCCCGGATTGAATGGAGAGCAGAATTTGGTCCTTGGAATGGTCCCATTCATGTGCATTTCCAAGGCCTTATGGCCTGATTGTCAGAGATGCTGGCAGGGCCGGTGCTACTATTAAGGCGAACTAGGCAGTTGCCTAGGGCGCCAAGATTTGGGGGCGCCAAAAAGGGGTGCCCCCCATTTTTTTTTTTTTTTTTTTTTTTTTTAAACAGCGTTCCTCCCTGAGTGCGCGGTTGCCGCTCCACTTCTCCCACCTCCCAGGCTTGCAGCGCCAATCAGCTGTTTGGCACCACAAGCCTGGGAGGAGAATTAGAGCGGGGGCAGCGTGCTCGGGGAGGAGGCGGAGCAGAGGTGAGCTGGGGTTGGGAGGTGCCGCACGGCTCCCCGGGCCGGGGGGGTGGGGATCTGCCGTGGGGGTGCCTCAGGGCGGGGGAGGGAGCTGCCGCACGGCTCCCTGGCGGGGGGGGAGCTGCCACGTGGGGGGGCACCTCAGGGCGGGGGGGGAGCTGCCGCGGGGGTGCGCCTCAGGGCGGAGTGGGGGCAGGGAGCTGCTGCAGGGCTGGGGGGGGGGGCAAGGTGGAAGTTTCGCCTAGGGCGCAAAACTTCCTTGCACTGGCCCTGGATGCTGGAAACCTAAAGTTCCTGTTCATGTCAGTAGGAGTGATGAGCACTTAGCACCTCTGCAAACCAAGCTACAAGGATCATAAAATGGGTCCGAATCTGTGAGCAGAGACAATTAGTGACTTTCCCTGAAGGGCTACAAATAGGAACAAAGAGCTCTTGGTTGGCATTTATTTCCAAGGGCTTTACAGCTGAGATGGTAGGCTCCTTATCTCTCTCCCATGTGGGCCATAAGATGGGTGGGATCCACCACTTTATCTGGTTTGGCACTTGTACCACTGCCCTCTGGAGAAACAGACAATGGAGCTGCCGATTCTACCGTAGCCATAATGAGTTACTAAGTAGACAGGTGAAATCATTCTGCCTCCTTGTGACCTGATTTCATTAGAAATGGGAAAAGCCTTGAGCTTTCCCAGGCCCACCCCAGCTCAACAGCCTTTCAGAATTCTTCCAGGGACAGGGCTGCAGCTGACCAGGGGCGCCTCGGGGTAGGGCGTGTTCAGGGCTTCTCAAGGTGGGAAGGCTTGTGGCCCCGGCTGAGGGAGGGGTGCAGGGGGCCTATTGATTGATTTGCCCTGGGGCCCGGAATTGCTGACGGTGGGTCTGCCGCCGGCAACACAGTCACCCCGCACCACACTGCATGGGCTCCTAGGGCCCCTCTCCACCGGCCCCCTGTGGCGCTGTGTGTGTGCTGTCCAGCACCGGGGGCGGTGGAGGATGCACCCCATCACCTAGTGGCCTGATGGGTGAAGGGTCAGGGCCCAGGTGGGGGAGCTGCCGTCACGTGTGCCTCCTCCCTCCGCAGACTGCAGCAGCCGCCTCAGCCCGCCCTGCTCCCTTATAGCCGGAACGGTGGAGCGGCGCTGGTGGGCGCAGCGTGAAAGGAACCGGCCACCGGCCAACGAGAGAGCGCAGCACGGGGAGTGGCAGCCAGCCGCTGCGCAGGGACGCTCCAGGGGTGGCGGACGGGGCTGGCGGAAAGGTGGAGTTGGACCCCAGCCACCACAGGCCCATATGACCCGCTGCCTATGCCCGAGGCCCCATTGTGAACCCCCTGAACCTCACGGCCTGTTTAGGGAGAGTGTCAGTAGGTGCATTTTCCAAAAGTCGATGCCCTCATCTTCCTTGGAGAGAGGGTGACAATTTGCCCCTGAAAAGGGCCAGGTTGTGATACCCCTATGGGGCTATTCACGGAATAGGGGGATTCTGCAGCATCGGTAGGGATAGCACAGCCGGATCCCAAAATTTGCACCTGTGCAAATGAACCAAGTGCACAAGTGTGAATGCGAGCACTGATGCTTCCCATTGCCCAATTCCCCCTGCTTCCGGTACTGTCATTAGAGACACAAGGGCTCTGATTTGCACCACTGCCTGAACTGAGTGCAAAATGCAGGTACAAATTCTGTGGTGCAAGAAAAGGAGGTGTCTTTTGGTGAGCTCCAAACACTCCTCTTTCCTCTGCCTTTCATAATACTGTGGCATTAAATGGACATACAGAAAATCCTTGCATCAGGGCTCTGGCTTGCCTATCTAGGCATCTTGTTTATCATTTTTAAGCGGAGGCTTGGAATATTGATTTCCTTTGGAATGTGCTGCCATGCGATGAAAAGCCCCAGGCTGGGAGCTGTGTTCTCATGCAATGAGCCCGAAGGTCATTTAGCTTCCTGAGGTGCTCTAGGCAGAAGAGGCGTTCATGATCCAGTCGCCAGACAGCTTCTTTGGAAGTGGGTGGTTGGTTGGTTTGTTCGTTTGTTTTTAGGTGGATTAAAAAGGATACTGTCAAGGCATTTAAAAAACAACAACAACAATGTTTACCAACATTGAGCCAGTTTCATCCCTGATGTAAATCTGTTGGCTTAAACAAAGACACACCAGGGATCAGCTTGGCCAGAAAAGCCTGGAACATAAATCCTTCCCACAATATTTTGTCTTCCTTGAGCAGACAGGTTTGTTGTTGTAAGGTTGTTCAGAAGTGCTCGGGGGGAGGGCACCTATGCTGGTGTGGTGTTATAGGGTTGCTTGGGATTGCTGAGGGCTTCCTATACTGGTTTATTATTGTAGGGATGCTCAGTAGTGCTCTGCTCTGCGTACGCTGGGGGGTTATTATAGGGATGCTCTTGTGGACCAGGTTGCTGCCATTGGGTTCTTGGATTTCATTTCTGGAAATAAAGCCTGGAAGGTTTGTGTAGGAGAAATCCCCCCACCCACACACACACCTCCGTGTTTGTATGTAAAGGATTCCATTGGTGAGGACTGGATTTGTTGTTACCCAGAGATAGATGTGGGTGACGGGAAGTCAGCTGTGAACAAATTGGTTCTGTGCCTTATGTGTGTCCTGGCTCTGACACCATGGCTTGGGTCACAGGACTAACCATCCTTCGCCTGCTTTGAGGCAGTTCAGACGCCCTTCCTAAGTATGGGCTGGAGAGCGCTGTGTTGACTCTTCTGTAATTTGAGTGCACCATCTGTTTCTATGACCTCATCTCCTCTTCCAGGGAGCGATAGCCAGGTACTTGTATCCCAGCCAGAGTGAAACAACACAGCCTGCTCCTCCACAGCACCTTTCGCACCCTGCCCCCTCAGGGGCTAAACCGCCCCAAAGGTAAACAATCCCCCCACCTTAACCCCTGTGACACAGGCCAGGACAGTGGGGCATCAGCTGGGTACAGGGAACACCCAGACTGAATAGCAGGAGGGGCAATGGCTGAGCTCCACATGGGAACCCCAAGGCTGGAATAGCAGGGGGTGCTGCAAGTCAAGACATAGGGCAGCAGCAGGGCGGTGTGAGAGCTCAGGCATGTATCTGGCACCAGCCAGGGATCTTAGTCCTCACTGTCATGAGCCCCATTTCCCCTCACAGAAGGGAGGTCTAGGCATGCTTAATTCTGTTTCCGTGCGGAGGGCTGAACTAGATGATCTCTCAAGATCCCTCCCAGCCCTGCATTTCTATATCAAAAGCAGAGAGCCCCTGTGTTACCAGGCTTTTCCCTCCCCCCACGACCCTCTGGCGTTATTTCCCTATTCCCCAGTCATTTATTTGCAGCTCTTTTCCAAGAGCTTATCGGTATCTGGTGGGCACAGGCCTACACCCTTCTACATTAATGCCAGGGCTGATACAGTAATGCACCTCTGCACATTGGGGGAGCTGGGAGAGCAACACTTTCTCCCTGACTGGCTTCTTAAACATGCTTCCACTGTGCCACCAGTTCTCACCCCTACCATGTGTGCTTTATTGGGCCTGTAGGGGTCTGGCCACACTGCAGCTGGCCGCGAGCTTCCCAGCCCAGGCAGGTAGACTTGTGCTAGCGTGCTAAAAATAGCAATGTGGCTGTTCTGGCTCTGGCGCAAGCTCAGGGTCTTGAGCCCACCTGACCCCCTAGGGAGTCCAAGCTCCAGCCCGAGCAGAACTGCCCACGTGGTTATTTTTCGCAGGCTAGCGCGAGCCCTGCTAGCGGGAGTTCGCCTGGGCTGGGGGGCTCGCTCCCAGCTGCAGTGTAGACATCACCGAAGACTCTGAGATTCAGGCTTGTGAGTTGCTCGGACCAGGGCCGATCGACACAGGATCGGCTCCGTGAAACGCAGATGCCCCTGTCTGCAGTCACTGTTTGGTGGCCCAGAATAAACCAGACAGGATGGCAAAAGCAGATTGGGTGAGAGAATCAAACAAACCCCACCCCTTGGGTGAAGCTGCTTTTCCAGTTCAGAGCACAAAGGTGCTTTATTTGCTGTAGTGCTTAAATATCTGTCTAGGTGCACTGGGAGGGGGATAAAGAAGGTGGATTCATATTCCTTCCATTGTTACGAAAGGGAAGAGAGCCTCTTTGGCAACTGCTTCTGGTTTGTTAACCCTTTCCCTGCCCAGGACAAGTGCCATGGTGCACTGGAATGGGCCTGACAGTAGAATACCTCCTGGTCTGAGTTATTGCAAAGATTTACATGGCACAGTGGGCACCGCATGAAAACTGAGAGGGTGGCTCCCAAATATCCTTCGTGTCAAGGGACAGTGCTCGCTCTAGGCCCAAAGTTAGCTGTGCTCTGGGCAAATACGCCCTCTCACTTGTAGGGATGTAAATCTATCTCAGAACAAATCAGTGGCTCTGAGGTTCTCGAGAGCGCTGTTTACACGGAAGGAAGAGCGGCACTGCGGGGTAGTGGAGAGGGCACTGAACTGGGGCTCAAAAGAATCTCCATTACCTCTTAGCAGTACAAGGGCTATGACCTAGCGTTCAGCAGTTCTGATTCCATCCAGTAGAGGCCAGTGCAACGTGCCCAGGCATGCACCAACGCACGCCGGCATGTTCACATGCATGCAGTGCCTGCATTTTTGCACCCTGGAGATTGCCCTGAGGGCAAGTGTCTTTTTCATTGTCCCAGGAAATAATTAGGATCTGGATGCATTCCTGAGCCCTTGTGGCCTCTGCTTCTCTGCCCTCTGCAGACTACAGAGTCTACGCGGCTGGCGGGATGGGACTGGACCTGCGGCCTCACAACTACATGCAGCACTACGACATGCTCAAGGACATCTGGGTGTCACTCGCGACCATGCCCACGCCCAGGTACGCTGCCACCTCCTTCCTGCGGGGCACCAAGATCTACGTGCTCGGTAAGGATGGACCTTGGCTGCCTCCTTCCTTGTTCTTCTGTAGGGATCTGCTGGACAATAGCTCCTCCAATCCGTGTGCTCCTGTGAATGCTGAGGGTGAGAGAATTCCTAGAACAGACCCAGACTGACCTAAAACCTCATAGGAGGTTCTGGAAGCTGCTTCCGCCCACCCCCAAGTGGTGATTTTAATGCATCCCATGGGTTTAGCCACCATTAGAAATACCAGGTCTGCTCTTGCATCTGCTGAAGTCAGTGGGAATTTGGCCATTGGCACCAGCAGGCTCAGGGTTGGGTCTGTTATGAGTGAGGTAAGTTGCCCACTCAAGTTGCAGACCAGAGATACCTGCACAAGCGCCTGGCCTTTAATAACCATAAAAATGCTCTCTGTCTATACAGAGACAGTTTACGTCTTCAAAGCACTGTACAGACATAAGGGTCTGATCCTGAATGACAAAACCCCACTGATGTCAGGATGTCCTAGTCCCTTTGTGGGGAGTAGGTATCATTATCCTCCTCTTATACATGGGGAAACTGAGGCAGAGGTACAGCACTACTTGCTTAAGGTCACACAGCAAGTCAGTGGCAAAGCTTGGATCAAAACCAAGGAGCCGTGACTACACTCAAATCCCCAGGCAATGTTTCCTCTCTTAAGGTTGCTACAGAAAAGAACCTTTGATGCATTTGAAGTTCATCCACAGCGTGCAAGGCCCTACAGCAAGCGCACATTTCCAGTCTTCAAAGACATGCCGAGCACCTGAATGGGAAATAGATGTATTCATTTGCATTTGATTTATAAAAAGAATAATATGGCATCTTTTGCCATTAAGTACTAGCTGCCTAGGCCATTCTGGTCTGTCATTTTGAGTTCTTGGCCATGCTATGGGCGGCACCAGTGCTGAACCCAATCTGAATTGCAAAAGCTCCTGAGCTGGCAGTACCCATCTTGCTGTGAACTAGTCTTGATTACACCGGCACATATTTAAATACCTTTCAGTGCTAGCTATCCAGTGTTGTTCTAAGTGCGGAACATGAAGTGCATGGTGCATAAAAAGGACATGTTTTCATTGCATGAAATAGAAGCTGGGAAAAGTCTAGTTCTATTTAGTTTCAGGTTCAGGCTGTTGAATTCAAATGAATATTTTAATAATTCTTTTAAAAAAATGTCCTTCACAGTGTTACTAATGGCACTTCTAGACTGTTATAAAGGAGAGAATTTAAAGCATGAACCAGTGTTCTCAACTCTAGTAATCTTATTAGAAGTCTTGGGATATTTGGTGTTTTTTCTGAAAGCCCCAGGTCCTGGAGTCATGTGATTATTTGAGGCTCTGAGCTTTTATTTTTGTTTTTAAAAAAACAAAATCAAACTACCTTTCCAGAACACATGATTGCAGAGAAGCGCTTGTAAACATAAATCCTAAAGACTAAGGAGGCAAATAAAAAGACCACAACATTTATTATTTTTTAAAAAAAATCTCACTTTGTCACATTCTCAGGGTTTTTGATGGCCCGACTCGTGATTTCAGAGGGGTTGCAGTTGGCAGTGCTGAACCACCATCAGTTACACATTCCTACTGTTTGTTTCCTTTTTTGCACTTCACTCTCCTTAGGTTGCGTTTACATTTGAACTGGGAGGTGTGATTCCCAGCTTGCATAGACATGCCTGCGCTAGTATAGCCGGGGTAGCATGGATGGCGGCTGGGGCTACTGCCCAAGTACATACCCGGGGGTCTGAGTGGGTACATGCTCGGGCACCTAGCCCAAACCACCACCTGTGCTACCCTGGCGACACCGCTATTTTTAGCATGCCAGCTTGAACACACCTACACAAGCTGGGAATCACACCTCCCAGCTCCCATGTAGACGTAGCCTTAGGTCAATCATTTCCACTTACTGTCCATAGTCCATTTAATTTTCAGGTCCTTTTGCACTAGCTCAGTGCTGTGGCATTTGGGTTCTCGCCCCTACAAGGGAATGCTAAATTCAGAGTCCGTCAAGAAGGAGGGGCACAGAAGATCACCCCAATGTTCCATGTAGTCCAGTGTTCTGTTTCCGGCAGCAACAAGCACCACAATATTAACCGTTATGATGATTTTGAATGGAAGTTGGGAACCAACTTCCTTAGCAGTTAGGTAGCTGGTGTGCTTGAGAACACTGTCGATCAGCTGAGAGTATTGTGCCATTGTTTCCTAGTGCTCCCCCATCTCTGTCGGCATCCACCCGTTGTCTCTTGTCTTATACTTGGACTGTAAGCTCCTTGGGGCAGGGACCATTTCTCTGGTCTGTGTTTGTATCTAGCACAACAGGATCCTTCTCCGTGCCTGGGGTTCCTAGGTGCTCCCACAATGCAAATAATTAATAATCATTATTAGGCTGTTCTGAAAATCCCAGCCACTGGCTTTTGTACAGCCCTATCCCACCGCTAACCTACTGAAAGCCTCAGATGTTGTCTTCCCACTTCCTGTCGTTGACTCTTTTTCCCCCTAGGGCTGACCTTCCCCTGCACCCCCCAGCTTCGTGGCAGTGGCGTTTCCATGTGCTGTCGTCCTAGAGCAGCTGGGCTCCGTGATGGCTGTGCGGCAAGGAGCGCCACACACATCAAATCACATTTTTAACCTTGTTCAGGGAACTGAGTGATTCGTTTATTGATTTTTAAAGGTTGCCTAGTGAGAATAAGTGCTGGTGAAATGTGCTGTACTGACAGCTCTGGAGGCTGATGGTCTCTGTTTAGCTACAGGGCTGGCACGGACAAGCTTCCCCCATTCACTGCCCTGCCCTGTGCCTCATCCCTGACCGGAGGGGATCCCCCCCCAGGGGCAAGAGGAGAGTTTAATCTCTATGGCCCAGTCAACTCCTGCCAACAGCTGAGACAGTGGCTTTGGATAGATGGTCAACTCCATTGGTAACTGGGCTTATTACCATTATTATTAATTTGTATTGCTGTAGCAACCAAAGGTCCCTCTTAGGATCAGGGGTCCATTGTGCTAGGTGCTGTACACGTACCTAGGAAGAGACAGTCCCTGCCCCCAAAGAGCTTCCAGTTAGAGAAAATGGTCAGAAAATGGGATTTCTTTCCTTTTCCACTCTATACGCTGGCCTCCATGGTCAGATCACATCTCCCATGATGCACCACAGTTTCCCCTCTGTTAGAGGAGTCCCTGGCTGTGGTGCATCATAGGAGATGTAGTCCAACCAGGGAGCTTAGCCTATAGAGGAGAATGGGAGCATGAGGCACCTGAACTACAGCTCCCATGAGGCACTGCAGCAACATTTCAGATTACAAATGTTTTGGGGTTTGGGTGTTTGGTTTTTCGATGAAAAAAAATCAAAATTTTCCACAGAAAGCTGACACTTTTCCTGATATTTTTCATTTAGTTGAAAACCCAGTTTTCCATTGAAAAACCGTTTGGATGGAAAGTTTCTGACCAGTCTTGCTTACAATCTAATTTAAGACTAAGGCCTGGTCCACACTAACCCCCCACTTCGAACTAAGATAAGCAACTTCAGCTACGTGAATAACGTAGCTGAAGTCGAAGTACCTTAGTTCGAACTTACCGCGGGTCCAGACGCGGCAGGCAGGCTCTCCCATCGACTCCGCGTACTCCTCTCGCGGAGCAGGAGTACCGGCGTCGATGGCGAGCACTTCCGGGATCGATCCAGGATCGATTTATCGCGTCTAGACAAGACGTGATAAATCGATCCCAGAAGATCGATTGCTTACCGCCGGACCCGGAGGTAAGTATAGATGTACCCTTAGACACATCCAGTGAGTGTGGCAGATGAAAGCAGAGGAGGGAGGATAAGGGAAATAATAATAAGGTGGTTACCTAAGTTCCGTCGTATGGTTCTGTATTGTCTGAAACCTGCCACACTCATTTCAACTGCCAGGTAAGTTACTCCCAGTTAGTCTGTGCTTCTCCCAGATCCTGGAGGCAGCTAACTGACAAACTGACCCTGCCCTGGGATGCTTCTGTCCCCATGTCCCTCCCAGGTGGGAGGCAGTCCAAGTACGCCATCAATGCCTTTGAGGTCTTCGACACAGAGACCAGGTCATGGACCAAGTTCCCCAGCATCCCCAGCAAAAGGGCCTTCTCCAGCTTCGTGCCCACGGAGAACAACCTCTTCAGTCTCGGGGGGCTGCGGCAGGGCAGGCTGTACCGGCAGCCCAAGTTCATGAAGACTGTTGATGTGTTTGACATTGAGCAAGGTGGGTGCCCGTCAGGTTCAATGCTTGCAGGTGAGGAGCCTGTGTGATATGAAGGGCAATATCTTTTAAGTCAGCAAAGGCTTAAAGACACACAGCTAGAGCTATACATAGGTGGGCTGAGAGGGATCTGCAGCTCCTATTGGCTTTGTTGAGGGTTGAGGCATGCTGCCTCCTGGAGGATTGACTGCGGATTGCTTGCACCCAGCTCTGCAGAAGGAATGCCATCAATAGTAAAAAAGCAAACTAGCCACACAGCCTGCGGGTGGCAAACCCATTGTCCAGGCAGCTGGCTCTAATACCAAACTCTCTCCTGGACACTGCCCTGAGAGACCCTGGCCAGCTGTGACATAGGCTTATACAAGCCAGGGCAATGCCAGGCAAACAGGCTTTATGGAGGTGGAGAGGCCAGCAGGGTTTGGTTTAGTTGTGCTGCACCTGTTTGTACACAGGTAAGATCTGCATGGAGCACATTGAATCTCAGCTGTTCTCCCTTCAGTAAGGAAACCCCAAGCTGGGCCTTGGTTTCCCCTGGCTTGCTGGTGTGTCTGGGCTAGTGTGAAATGCAAGAGTTTTGCTTGGCGAGGGAGGGGATGTTCATGCCAACTTTCTGGAGATGGGCACAGGCTGTAAAATCTGAATCCAGATTTTCCAGCAGACCACAGTTTGGATCCAAGGTTCAGTTCTGCCTGTTGTAAGGGTAGGACAAGGACCTTTTGCAAAATCAGTATCCCCTTCTGAGCTCAGATTTCAAACACCCAGTGCCTGGCTGGGATTTTGGCTCAGGTCCATCTCTAACTTCACCCCGTGTGAAGTTAGTACCCCTCCCAGTGACTTTTGACTCTGTGTCTGGGGTTCAAACAGAACCAAAGATTTTGAGCAAAACTCCCCGACAAACCACTGAGTTTCACCAGGAGTGTGGTGAACTGCTGAGTTTAGCACGGTTCGTCTGTCTGTCCTGTCTCTCCTCAGGTGGCTGGATGAAGATGGAACGCTCCTCCTTCCTAAAGAAAAGGCGAGCGGACTTTGTCGCTGGCTACTTGAAAGGAAGGGTCATCGTGGCCGGGGGGCTAGGTGAGGAACAACTGGAGGTGAAGGGTAACCTTTCCAAAAGCACTGAAGTGACTTAGGAGCCTAAGCCCCATTTTCAAAAGTAACTTAAGCACCTCAGAGCCCAAATCCCATTAACTTTCAGTGAGCCTTAGGGAGATTTTCAAAGGCAGGTTGACTTTCAATGGGAGTTAGGTGTCTAACTGCCACGCGAAGCTATGAAAATCTCCCCATTAGTCTCCTGTGTCATTCAGGCACTTTGGGAAATCTCACCTGAATTGGGCAAGACTTTCACAGGTCCCTATTGATTTTGGGTGGCTGCATTTTTGGCTGCCCAGCACAGGACCCTGGAAGGGGCCTGATTTTTCTGTTGAGTACCTCCCTTCTGAAAATGAAGCCTCTTTTGGGTATCTTAAGTTGGGCACCCAAAAATGGAGCCATCCGAAATCACTAGTCACTTATGAAAATCAAGGCTGAAATCTTCTTCTGTCTCATGCGATGCTTGTGAGGTACAAATCTCTTTTCCATCCCTCCCTCGAGTTCTGGGTAATGCATTACCTGCGAGCTTCCACTCCCATTCGGAGATGCCTGTGCAAGAGTTCACGCCCTGCCCCACAAATTCATATTGTCGCTGCTGGGTGTTTGGGAGCCATCCTTCATGGTAGTTGTTTCTTCCTGGGTAGTTGTGAGGGATGGTGCAGGGGGTTCACTGCATGGCACCTTCTAGCTGCTGACTGCAGCCTTAACAAGAGTCCAAAACAGCAACTCCATCCCGGGCCAGACCAGGGCTGGAAGGGCATCGTGGGTCCTGAGGAGCTAGTGTGGCACAGCTGCTATTGTAGGGTAAGGGTGCCGCCTGGTGCAGCTGCAGAGACTAGAGGTCGTCACCCATTTTGGACAGCAGGGGGCAGACCAGTCACTATAAGCTGCAGCTTGCAGCAGGCTCTGGTTTCTGTGTCCTGCAATACTTGAAAAGAAAGAAATTATTCAATGCAAGTTCTTGTTGCTTCCCTTCCTGTACCTCACTTTCCCGCAGTGGGGCTAAGGATACTGGCCTCCCTTGTAAAGTGCTGCTTTGAGATACATGGCTGAAAAGCGCTACATAAGAGCTAGGTGTTATTTTTATTTGTATGATTAACACAAAGAACAGAGTGAGCAAGACTGGAAGCAGGAGCGTGAGCAGGAGCTGGCAGGTATCACCTTGGGTTCTGCATGACCACCCAGAGAAGTCTTTGTTCTATGTAGCATCCTCATGGGAGGTGGGGGGAAGAGATGACAGAATGAGGCCATTTCTGCTTTTGGATCATTGCCCCACATTTCTTTTCTGCTCAAATCTGATTTTCCCCCCATTATTTTTATATATTTATCCTGTCTCCACAACACTTTTGCTTTTTCTCCCCTCCCTCCTCCCCGCCACCCCACTTTGGCTCTTTCAGGGAACCAGCCAACGGTCCTAGAGTCAGCTGAAGCCTTCCACCCAGGGAAGAACAAATGGGAGAGCCTGCCACCCATGCCGACCCCCCGCTGCACCTGCTCCAGCATCGTGGTGAAGAACTGCCTGCTGGCCGTTGGCGGAGTGAACCAGGGCTTGAGTGATGCAGTGGAGGCACTGTGCGTCTCTGACTCCTAGCCACCCCCTTTCCAATTCCCACTCCCTGACAGGTCCATCTCTGAGGTCCTGGGAAAGTGGCAGTGGCAGTGATGCTGTCAGGATCAGCCTCGCGTAGTTTGCACGCTGCTCTCTCCTGCTGCACCTCTAGCTGCCTGCACAGGACATCCCGGGGAAGGTAGGCAGCACCCCACCCTCGTGCGCACACCTCTGAAGCTAAGGCTGCTCTGAAGCTGTTGGCCAGCAGGGGCTCCTGATCGTCTGTTAGCCAGTCTCGGTACCCAGGGGCATCACCCCTTCATCTCCACCTCCATCCAGGACCCCTTGGTCCTATGCCAGTCCCGAATTGCTGAAGAACGCACCAGCCTTGTACTGCAGTGCAGGAGATTGACCAGCCTAGGAGGAGCACTTTGGTTGCGGGGGATCCACTCCGACCACGTGCAAAGGTGCAAGAAGGAGCTTGGCTGAGAAGAGCGCCCCATGGAGCCGGAACATCGTGTCCCCCGCCATTGGGAAAGGACCCTTTAGATCAGGGTATGCCGGGGCTACGTCCTCATACTCTACTATGCTTCTCTAACCATGGCTCAGAGCTGCAGCGCTCACATGAAAACCCTGTGTAGCCAGACACGCTGGTTAAAGAAACCCCACTGACTCCATTGTTTGGGTGGAACCAGCCTTCCTGTTCTGATGTGACATTATGCTTGCCAAGCACCCAGGGTGCAAGACATCCCTCCTGGCGCAGAATCCCTTGGCGAGCTACAGGGGAACTTCCTAATCATATAAGCTAGAATGGATGGTGAGCGCCATCAGCCAGAGAGGAGCCAGTCCAATGTCTGGATTGACAGCAACTTCATTGCCCATTAGCTTGTAGATTTTGCCCATGGCTTGTGCCCGGGGCTGAAGCCAAGCGTTGCCAGCACTCCTGGGCGTGCTCTGACAGATGGAGGCATGGAGGGCTAGTTTGAGGACTGTTTGAAGCAAATGGATGATTCTGCATTTAGCATAGAACAGGCAGACCTGCCTTCACTCGTTCTGACACAGAGATGGGGCTGAGCTGCAACATTCAGATCTGGTTCCAGGTCGGGATTTTAATGCCCATGATGCTCCGGGGTGTTCAGATCCAGGATTTCACTTTGGTTCACTTCACAGATAAAAGACCATTTGCAAAACCTTGACCCCGAGCTAACTTTGGATTTCCAACACCCTGAGAGTTTAGGGGATGGCTTTGGACCCACCTCTACGTACACGCGTCCCACAGAGAAGCCAGAATGCAACAGTGGGCTCTTCCTTTTCCTTGGTTTTGTTTAAATTTGTATCTGTGGTTTGTGGCCAAATGCTCTTTGATGGATGGGTTGCGATTCTTGCTCATAGCAGCAGCACAATTAAAACTTGTATTCACTGAGCAAAGGCTCTCTGCAGTGAGAGATTCTGTAGGTTCCTCCCTGCTACAGAGGGATCAAACTGGGGAGCTGCAAAGCTGGGGCATGGACTAAAGGGAGGGAGAGCCAGCCTGGGAAATTCTTATTGTCACTAGCAAGCGTACAGACTGACATTGAAGGCCCTGCACTAGGGCAGCCTTCACGCTGCTGCAGCCACCAGCCTCGCTGGCTTATTGTCTACATTCCTTAATAAAGTCATTTGCCTTGGAGGAAACTGGGATTTACCAGTGAACATCCCTCCCCATCCTGTGCAGAACAAGCCAGGGTGTAGCTGCAGGGCGGGGGGTGGGGGGGAGGAAGCTGCCTGGCAGCTTAGCCAGAGCCAATCGCAGGTGTAAACCGCCTAAGACCCTTCCGTGCTTCCTGCCTTTGAAAGAGCCCAGTGGTTGTCAACGTTCTTTGTGACGGGGCAAGCGCTCCGGTGACAGGCTTTGTCGATGAGAACAAAGCCAGGCTCTCCCTGGGCAGGCAGAAATAGCTGCCCATGCTAATCCCCTGGCCACACTGCACTGGGCAGGGCCATGGGACAAGCCGGCTGCTAGCAGGGAGCGCTTCCCTGATCAGAACAGAGAAGGGGGGTTCGTTTTCTCCTACCAGCTGTGCTGTCACCATGTTCTAAAACAGTCCTTGTGCTTCTCCTGGTGGCTGGCCTGCACGGTTCTCTGAAGGAAATCCCTATCCATGCGGCTCAAGCTAAGTCATGTTTAAACGTGACTCGTACCAGCACAGAGCAATCACTGGGCCTGTCTGCAATAGGGGAGGTTGAGCGCCGTTTTCTCGGCTGGGTGGTTATAGCCGTGGGTATGGAAGGGTGTTTCAGCCTTGCTGCTACCGCTCTGGCCTTCTGCTGTTTGGACTTGTAGCTACTTTGGGATTCTAGGATGAAAGGCCTGCTGGGAGTGCAGAGCGCGGGGCAACTGTTAACATGTTCTGAGTAGCGGTGACTGGAGATGCTAAGGGGCCAGGCAATGGATGAGAGGGGCTGGGGACAAGGCCTCTGGGGCATTTGTGCCACCACAGGGCTGGGGACGGATGGGGGGTTGTTGCCATGGCAGGGTGGGGTGGTTGGGGTACTGGTGCCACCGTAGGGCCAAGAAAGCCCAGGGAAATGGGGCCCTGAGGTAGTTTTTAGCACTTTGAAACAATCCATAAAGGTAGCTGCAATTAGCCAAAGGAGCGGAGACACAGGTGCTTGCAGAGCTCCTGGCACGCCAAGCCCAGTGCGCCCAGCTCAGGACCACCTGGCTTAGCTGTCTCTTGGGCAGCCGGCCCTTTCACAGTGCTTTGCTGCTTAGCCTCCCGCCCTACGTGAGCTGCTTGTTCCTCTGCTGGGCTGCTCCCCCTCTCTGAGGGCAGATGCCTGGCAGCGGGGTCGTCACCAGATTACGTTCCCACAACACTACAGGGAGCAGGGAGAGAGCCAGCCCAGCACCGCAGCAGTCACAGCCGATTGTAACCGGTGATAACCGAGCCATTGTTGATCGGCCGCCCGTCTTCCCATAGCAGATGCTGCGTGAGACACAGGAGCTCTGCCCTCCCAAGGTAACTACACCAAGGCCCTGCTATAACCCAGGGATCGAAAAGAGCTCCAAGAGCACATCTTGTCCAGCCCCTTCTCAGCCCAGTGCTGGACTGTTCCCTACTGGATAGTGTCATGTACTGTGCATCACTGCCCTCTCCTGGACAGAGTCAGAATGGCTCAGCTGTGTGTCATAGGCCCTATACTGCTAGCAGATAATGGGAATTCCCAAATGGCAGGGACTTGAGCTCTAAGCCACGAGCACCTAAATTCTATCCTTGCAGTTGCTGTGAAGTTCCCAGTGTGTGGCCTAGTGACAGCAGGGAAATCTTCGTTGTTACAACGTTGTAATTTTTGAACAACTTTAAAAATCTCATTTACATATTTTTGTTAAAAAAACAATCAGAAATTTCAAACAAACTGAAAAAAAATCCTTTTTAAACTGTTGCACAAAATATACATTTCTCTTGCCCAGCACACCAGCTGCCAGGCTGTGTCAGATGCTAGCAGAGTGAGGGGATGCAGAACATTGCTGGGAACACCAGAGGGCACTTAATGAGGCAAGGAAGGGAGAAAGAGGGTGTAAAATCCAGCGGCTGCCGCTTTGCAGTTGTTCGCACCTGTGTAAAGTGGGAGGGTGATGTGACCGGCTCTCAGTGGCTGTGCTTTCTGCTGGGAGAAGTGGGCCCATCACAATGAGATGTTGGCATTTTGCAAGTCAGCGCCAATAATTCAGTTTCATCTCCCTGAGCCTGATGCTGCAGCTCCTGCGGGGAGTATTTGCTGCAGATGAGTCTCAGTGGTGCAGATTCTCTCTGGCCACACTCCCTGCTCACTAGGAGGTGGGCACTCCGTGCTGCCATGGTGATGTAACTCTTTGGGGCCTGGTTCAGCAAAATAACCTCTGAGATCCTCTCCAGCTCCCTAATGCAAAGCCTGGACGTGGATTCATTGTAACTGGGGGATCAGCCCGATTTAATACTCATCACTTGGATCCAGGCCCTGTGTTCGGGGTAAGGCCTAGATCAAGCAGTGCCAGTGAGTCAGAGGCAGTGCAGCAGAGGTCTGGACTGATTGCAGCTGGCTGATTCTGCCTCAGAGGTCAAGGAGAGGGAGAAAGATGACTCTTGTTGGGAGGCAGGAATGAAGGCTCCCTGCCAGGCCTGGGGAAATCTGGGCCAGATAGTCTCTCCAGGGTGACTCAAGACTTCAGTGGATTCTAGGAGCATGGGCTGTGATGGGCCAGCAGCACCGTGATGCCTTTTGCTCTGGTCTGTCACATGCCATGTGGGCTTTCAAGCTGTTTGGGCTGTTTGGTCGTGGGTCACATCCTGAAGCCCAAAGGCAAGTCGATAGCCCAAAATGCAGCACTGGAACAGCATGCAGAAATCCAGGGGGCAGAGGGGCCTAGCAAACCCACCGCGTCGCCAGGACTGAGTTCCCAGCCACTCCAGCGAGTTGCCTTGCTAATCTTTGAGCCTGGCAAAGAAGCGGGACCGGCTTGGGCTTGCTTTAGTGTGCCGCTTTGAGGACACCTAGTGGCTTTTTGGGTCATCGCGTTTGGAATTCTCTAATGAGGTATTTCTAATACAAGGAGCCCTCTATCCAGTGCGTCTCTGCTGAGAAGGAAGGTAGTTGAGACAAGGGATACTGGCAGGGGGACACACACAGTATCCCGTTCCATTGTAGCTGCATAGAAATGAGAGGCAGGGGGTTGGCTGGCTCAGACTAGGTAATGGGCTATGCTGAGCTGCCACCATGTCACATCCAGCCCTGCTCAGTAATAGCCCGAGTACTTAGCACTGCAGAGGATTTGAAGGAGTTTCCCAGGCCTGAGCCGTTCTTTTAGGTGATAAATCAGAGACTGATCCGTGCGCCTGCGATCCAGATCTGAATGCTGTGGCTTGAGCCCTCTCCCGAAAGTTGTTGCAGAGGCCGTGGGAGAAAACCATTCCCGTCTATTTGCATTTGCCATTGAGCAGTGAAATCGGTGGCCCCTTTTGAAGTGCTGCCCCGCCAGCTGTAAGTCACCTTCCCCTCTGATCTCAGACTGCCACCTGGTACAGATGAAAGGGGGCGAAGATATTTACTCTTCAGCTAGCAGCCCTGGAGATAATTAGTTACATCCCCCCTGGCTAAACACATCTGGGAGCAGCTATGGCCTGTCTGATCACACCCTGAAGCAGGCTCCCACCATGTTTTAGGAATAAGGGCCCAGATCCTCAAATGTATTTAGGCCTCTAACGTCTATTGGTTTCAGGGGAAGTTAGGAGCCTAAATACCTTTGAGGCTCTAGGTCTAGGAGCCCATGATCTAGCAGCTCAGGATCCCAAAGAGCAGCCTCTTTGAGAAGATAGCCTTGGCCTCTGG